GAGCGGCCGGTGCTCACGCTGTATGCGGCGCCGGCTGCGAGAGCGCTGCGCGGGGGGGGCCGCTGCGCGGGGGGAGCCGTTGCCGCTGCCCTTGCCTCTGCCGCGCAGCACAGCGACAACGGCGGCCCGCCAGGACGCCGTCGCGTGCCTGGCGGCTCGTCGTCCGGCCGAGTCCTGCTCGGCTCGGTGGCGTGCCCGGGGGGAAGTGAGAAGCAGAAGGTCTTCTCATAGAGGGGGGCATCGGGGGTGGACAGGCCTCCTACCCTGACACGTCGAGTAAGGAATCGGCCGTTCTCGGTTCGCGAGGGGGCGTCGCGGCCGTCATTTTTGCGGGTCCAGGTCGGTCGGTTTCGATCCCAGGCCGTTTTCACGAAGGGGAGGTCTATTGAAGGGGGATCAAGCAGTGGCGAAGCGTCCTGGCTCGCCTATAGCCCTACCAAGCAATGTTCTAAGAACCTCTTGTGGTTCCCGCGAAATGTGGGGGGGGGCCCAGATTGAATCGGGGGTGGACAGACCTCCTACCCTTGACACGTCGAGTAAGGAATTGGCCGTTCTCGGTTCGCGAGGGGGCGTCGCGGCCGGTATTTTTGCGGGTCCAGGTCCCTCGGTTTCGGTCCCAGGCCGTTTTCACTAAGGGGAGGTCTACTAAAGGGAGGTGTGTCCACCGCCGATTGAAGTCGGGCACGTCCTCCTACAGGGGATTTTGGACGAGAGATATGAGACAGTTTCCAGACACATTCAAACGTAGTCAAACAAACGCTCAACGAATCGTCCCCATGTTATCCGTAAGGGCTTCGCCCCTTGCCGCCGGCCCCCCCTCTCTCGGATGATGGACAATGCAAGAGCGAAATCATGAGGCTTTGGCGCCGCCGTGTAGCAGCGTCGGGACTTCACGCGAAGACGATGAGTAATCGGCAAGACGAATTGAGATTCTGATGATGTTGCTTAATTCGGTATTGTATTTCGAGGGTTGGCTTCGGATACGCGATTATTGAGTCATTTGCAAAGGTGTATGGTTTCGGGGTCGCAGATGTTGCAGCATTTACGCAGGTTTCGGAGACGCGAAAATTGTATGGCTTCGGACACGCGATTGTTGCGTAATGTACGAGGGTGTATGGTTTCGCGGTCGCAAATGTTGCGTAATTTACGCAGGTGTATTGTTTCGGTGACGCGAGTATTGAATACTTTACACGGTGTTATGGTATCGGGGACGCGAATATTGTGTGATTTACAAGCGTTTGTGGCCTCGGGGGCGTGCGTAAGTATGGCGTAATTGTCAAGAGTTTATGATTTCGGGGACACGAATCTGGTGTATTTTGCGACGGTTTACGGCTTCGGGGACGCGAATATTGTATAATTCGCTAGGGTCGATGGCCTCAGGAACACGAATGTTGCGTACTTTGCGACGGTATATGGCCTCGGGGGCGCGAATTTCATATATTTTACATGTCCCCCCCCCCCCAGGAATTCAGTGCACGCGATTCGGGCGTGGTACCTAGGTTCCTTCTCGGCTCCCCCCCTCGCGCTGCCAATCAACAAAGGAACCGTGAGCAGCAAGAAGCAGAACTGTAACAGTGGAAACCGGAAACTGGAACTGGCGCAGGGAGCAGCAAACCCTCGGCCTACAGCCTGGTGGCCCCACAAGGGGGCCAGCGGATTTTTTTTGATTATTTTTGAATAATCCCCTTGTAGAGGGACTCTCTGTATGCGGCGCTGGCTGCCAGAGCGACCGGGCTGTCCCCATACACGCTCGCGTCGTAAAAAATCAGGACAGGCTGTTTTTCGCAGTACATATTCGGCCCCTGGAGGCCGCCGGGCCCCGGGACCGTCAAAAAACGGTTCAGGATGAAAAGCCGGCTCCGGGGAAAGGGTCGGGACTTCCGGGGACGCCGTATCGAAAAAACCACGGCGTCGCATGTTTGGGTCAGAAAAGTCGAGATGGAGGGTTTTCGCCGTTTTCGGCCTCTCGGGGCCCTCGCTGAGCTTGGGGGCTGTCAAAAAACGACTCGGGACGGAAAACCGGTCCCGGGGAAGTGGTCGGGAGGTCAGGGGCCCGTGTACCGAACAAAGCGAGACGTCGGATGTTTGGCGAAGCGTCTTGGCCTGCCTACGGTCGGGCCGAGGTAAAAGATCGAGGTCAATTCGGGGAGGGCATCCTTGGACGTTCTTGGGTACCCTTGGATGTCATGCGTGTTCTGGCCGACAGAGGCTTTCATGTTCTTGAAGGATGTGATTATGTCCTAGGTCCGACTGTTGGGCCTACCGCAGAATGTTATCATAACCTTCTCTGTGGTCTGCACGAGATGTTCTTGGAGCATTTCTGGCTAAGGCTTGTCTTGATACATCGGGTCTTATGTTCTAAGAGCTTTGTTTTGTTCTTAGAGCACTCGTTTGTTCGACGAACTTGTCGTGGTAGGCCTCCAGGAATGCCGGGACGGCCGGTCCTTGCTCCAGGGGGGGGGGGCGAGGAGCAGGAAGGGAGGAGGGATCATCGGGGAAGCGTGTCCAGATCTCCAACGTAGTGACAAAGCCAAGACGGAGGTTTCTCGCCGTTTTCGGCCTCTATAGGCGCCCTTACTGGGCTCCGGCACCGTCCCCGGGAGTGGGTCGAGACTGGACTCAGAGGCAACGTTCGAGGCTTGAGGTTTTCCGGGTTCGAGGTTTTCGAAGGAATCGTCGGTTATCGGCAGTTTTCCAGCTTCGGGGTGACTTTAATCGGCTGAGCCTCGCCGAGAGCGTTCGGGGGGTGGGGGAGGACCGGGGAAACGCAAGACCGTGAGATGAAGGCGATGCAATTCTCTCACGACGGGCGTGTTCGCCTGGTTTCGGGCCCTGGGACCATCACAGACTATGACAGATCGATCAGGCTCGAAAGATGCCGCAGGAAAATGGGGTTTTGGTCGCGATTGTCTGCGATACTGCTGCTCGTGTGAGCAAGCGGTCGAAGAGCAAAAACCTGCATGAACATAATTTCTCGAAAGTCCGCACGGATTTTTTTTCTCGGATCGGCGCTCGGGCTCCCCTTGCGGCGCCTCTGGCGCCGCCCCTGGCGCGCTCCGCTCGCCAGGGAGGGGTTCCCGTACCGAGCCGAAAAATCCGGGCGGCCCTTCGAGAAATGGTGTTGATGCAGGTGTCGGTTTCTCTCAGGGCACGGTTCGCCAGAGGGCACGCGAGTGGGGTCGCCCAGGAGGCGGCATGTTCGCCACTACGATTGGATACTCAATGTGTGCCTTCTCGACTACGAGCTTCCTCGCGCAGCTGGACGCGCCGCCGTCGAACTGGGGGCAGCTGGAGAGCGCTGCGCTGCAATCCCTCTACGTCGCTGCCCAGCCGGTGGGCGCCCGCGGCCGCCCTGCACGGCCTCCCTCTCCTGGGCTCGCCCGCGCGCCTTCCGGACCTGCCCGCGACGGCGCTGGCGGCGAAGTGCCGAGAGTGTCAGTTTGAGGCGGCGGCGGAGGGCGGCATGCGCGTGGCCGCCCGAGCAGCGGAGCTGCGCGCGACGCGGGTGCACAGCACGGCACCGCCTGCGCGCCTGGGGCGCTGGAGCAAGTGGTTCAGCAGCTCGTTCCTCTGGCAGCTCGATGCGGCGCGGCGCAGGGCTACTGCCATCAGCGCGCGTTGGGCCCGCGCCGGGTGGCACTGGCAGCGGGCACGGCCGACCCCGTGCCCCGGAGGAAAGCCTGGCAGAGCACGTGCGTGCGCATGATCGAACCCGACAGGGGCGCGTCCCTGGCACGCTTCTTGCGGCATCGGCTGTCGTTCTGGTATTGCGACCTGTCAGTGGAAGAGATGACAAACCGCGCAATGCGCGCGTATCCCGCCGTGAAAAGGCGAGTTCCCCTGCGGGCGTTGGCCACGTGCCTGCGGACGCTTTGGAACGGCTGGATCACCGCCCGGCGGTTTCAGCAGCGCGCGGGCTGCTGCTTCGGGTGCGCAGACGGCGAGGACTCCGTGGAGCACTACGCCGATTGCCCGTGCGTCGCGGCGGCGGCGGCCGCCGACCTGCTGGGGCTGCCCCAGCTGGCCTCGCGGGAGGCGCGGCTCGCCGGGTTCTTGCTCTTTGCGCCCCCTCACAGCGAGCAGGCGGCTCCCGAGCTGCGGCGCCGGGCGCTTCTGACGGCCAGCGTGTGGCTGACCCTCTGTCGGTGCAGGCGGCGCCGCAGGCCGCAGCCCCGCTGCCTGCTTGAACGCGCTGAGGGTGACCATCCGCCAGTTTCTTTAGTGCCAGCGCCAGTCTTGTTTCTCGTTATTTTGTCCGTCCTCCTCCTCCTCCTCCTCCTCCTCCTCCTCCTCCTCCTCCTCCTCCTCCTCCTCCTCCTCCTCCTCCTCTTCTGTGAAGTGCAGCTTTGGTGCGGATCTCGGGGTCGATTCGCTCCCTGCAGTGCATGATCATATTTCTCGGGAGGCCGAGGTCCCTCCTGCTGTCGTCATCCGTCGTCCTCGTCGTCGTCGTCGTCGTTGTCGCTCAGCCGCTTCTAGGTTGGAGCTGATTTTGCAAGCTAACCTTTTGGTCCGCGCACTTGGAAGTGGCGCAGCGGGCCAGAGCCGTAATCAAGTGATTCATGGGGCATGAAGCGGCAGCGCCTGGGAATACACAGAAAAAAAAATGCCCAGGAATGCCGAGGACGCAGCTTCTTCAACTTCCACTTCCGCACCTCATGCAAGGAATGTGGAACGATCGCGCCTCAACCGAGCCTCGCCCAGCAAAAAAAAAACATCGTGAGCAACAGCAGCGTGAGCGTCTGCCTGGAGGGCAAGCACCGCCGCGCGGGCGGTGGGCCAGCGGACCCCCTCGTGGGTCTGCAGGCGGCGGCGGCGGCGCCGACCCCTCCTCGCTCTCGGTGGAGCAGCTGGCCAAACTTCTTCAGGCTAAGGGAGTGGCAGGTCAGTTGCCAACAGATGTGGAGCATGCCCTTCGCCAGAACCAGGAGAAGCCCGTGGGCCTTGCTGCGGAGGGGTTGCAAGACTTACTTCAGAGGAAGCAACGGAAGGGGAAACAGGTTGAGGCAGCTACAGGACGAGTGGCAGCTGCGCAAGAGACTTCGTCAGGCTCAGAAAGCCTTCGAGGAGGAGTCCGCCCAGTTGGCCAAGCATCGCGAGTCCTTCAAGGAGCTGGAGTCCCACGTCCAGCGTGCCAGGGCGGCTGACGTTCTCCCAGACCCACCTGAAGGGGCAGTCGAGCTTCAACATGAGATCGCGATGCTCGACGTTTTGGAGAAGCGCCTGCAGAAGTACGGCGGCAGGTTCGGCATCAACACCGACGCCGCCCGTAAAGCTGCAGCGGCAAAGAAGAATGAGTTCGAGTCCAAGATCCCAGAGCCGATGGGCACGAACGATGATGAGGGGGGGCGCTCCTGCTAGTTGCGGCGCAGGGGCTTCTGGCGGCGCTCAGCCTGTCCAGTTCGACGAGTCCGACGGAGAGCTGCGCCGAGCTTTCGCCTCAGCAGGTTGCGGCATCGCCGACCCCGACAAGTGCAAGCGGCTGCTCGTGAGTCTGGGCTCCCGCGCCAAGAGAGCCAGGCATGGGTAGCAGGCGGCTTTCGGAAGGAGCTCGGGTGGCGACGCGAGGGGGCACGGTCCCCGAGCTATGGCCGCGGCCACCTGTTGGGAGGCAGCCCCTCTGCGTCGGGGCGAGCTTCGGCCCTCGGCACTGAGTCGGGGGGCTCGAGCCTCCAGGTGGGCCGTGGCGCATCAAGGTGGACGAGATTGGGCGCTGGCTGGGCCGGCGCAGATTGGCAAGCATTACATCTGGATGTGGACGGCTAGTGCGACCCAGTGGTCATCGGGGCAGACGTTGCTGGAACGGGCGCAGGAGAGCCCAGAGCGCAACTTGCCCGACGTGGTCTGCGTGCAGGAGCACAGGCTCAAGAGCGACAACATGCTGGGCTCGGCGAAGCGCTGGGCCGAGCATCGGTCCTTCAGCTGGCTCGGGCGAGCAGCTGAATCGACGGGTGAGGGCGTGCTCCGCTCCAGCGGGGGCGCAGCCATCCTGAGCAGCCTGACGGCCGCGCGTGGGCCAGGGCTGACCCGCGAGAAGCTTCCCGCTCACAGGATCGAAGCGGCGAGGCTTAACATTGGCATCCCTGTGCCGCTCCATGCGATCAGCCTTTACCTCGTGACGGGGATGGGGCTAGCGAAAGAGACCGTTCTGATCCTCAGTCAGTTGCTGGAGCATGTTGGATCGCATCCAGGGCCATGGATCGTTCTGGGCGGCTTCAACATGGAGCCTGATGTCCTGGTCGAGTGGTTTGCCAAGGCAGGGGGCACGCTGTTGCCCCCCTCGGCTCCGACATGTGGCGGGCGCGAGCTCGACTTCGACATCTGTTCCAGGGTCCTTGGGGGCTTCGTCCGGTCGGTGGCGCCGATCGAGGGCGCGACGTTGCAGACGCGCATTCCAGTCCTTGCCTGGAATCGCACCCTGAAGCAGCACTCGAGTGCCGAGTATAAGAAGTGGGCGATGTTCTATTCGGCGGCCTTCCCCCGTTTCCGAGCTAGGCGCCGCTGCCGGGGCCAGGGGGATGACGCGCCTCCAGGCCCTCCATCGGCAGTGCAGAGTCGTCCGTCGCATTGTGATTTGTAACTGGCCTGAGGTGGGATGTCCTGGCAGGCGGTCGGAGATCAGCAGGCTTGAGCTTGTAGATGTGCTAGCGTCGGCTGACCCCGAGCAGCTGGCCAGGGCCGTGGATTTCCTTGAGGCTCTCAGGACCCACTTGCAATCGCCCCAGCGAGCTAGCAGAGCCGAAGCGGCCAGAGCTTGGAGAGAGTGGGCCCAAAGGGCGGTGCAAAATGGTGGCAGTGACGCTTTTAGTTTTGCGCGTGGCAGCGCCCAGCCGTCGGCCCCTCAGACCGACGACCGGGATCAGGAGCCGCCCTCCCTATCGCCGGCCAAGAAGCTCTTGGCCAAATCATGGACACGTGGAGGCCCTTGCGGGCCAATGAGGGTCGCGCTCAGGAGCGCCCCCCCCCCCCCCCCCCCTGGAGTGGGAGGCGGCTCGACCCATCGAAGAGAGCGGAGTCGGCGGAAGTCAAGCTGGGGCTTGCGGGGGCCTCGAGGGGCCCGAGGTCTCGGCGAGGTCGGCGGACAGGCTGGGCCCTTATGCTGAGCTCCCGCCGATTACCTTGGAGCAGTTTGACAGGGTGCTCAGCAGCTACCCTGCGCAGGCTGGCTTGGGGCGGGACAAGTTCCACCCGAGGCAGATGCATGCCTTCCCATTTCGCACAGGCAAGCGTTCATAGATCTCCTGCGTGCGTGGGGAACTCTCCCAGGTGGCCAGGATCTGCGGTTGCTGCTTGTTTTCTTTCTCAGCATGCCCAGCCCCCCAGGAGGTGCACGACCCATTGTGTTGTTTTCCCTTTGGGCGCGTATGCGGTCGAGGTGCCGCCAGGTCGTCGCCCGTCGATGGGGGCAGTCCTTAGGGAAAGCCGCGTCCTGCGGAGATGCTGGGCACATGTGCGACAGGTCCGGTTCTGTTCACAATGTGCTGCAGCGCATAGCGCGCTTGAAATGCTTCAGTGCTGCCAGCGGTATGCTGGATCTCAGCAAGTGCTGCGACTTCATCAGTCGCGAGGAGCTTCGGCAGGAAGCTAGCAACACGGGTTTCCCTCTTGCTCTCTTGCGTTGCTTTTGCCCGGCGTTTAGGCTTCCTCGACGCGCGGTCTGGCAGGGGGCAATTTCGCCAGCTATGGCGGCCAACGGGGCCGTGGCTGCGGGATGCAGCTGCGCCTTGGCACTCGCCAAACTGCTCGTGCACACCTTGCTTGTGGAGCTCCAGAGGGGGTTCCCCGTCGTGCGATTTCAAAACCTGGCGGGTGATTGTTGTTGCTGCAGGCGGTCGGCTCGTTTGAGCAGTTGGTTTCTCAGTTCCCTGGGGCCATGGTGGCTTTGGTCCGTGGTCTCTAGGAAAAGCAGTTGAAAGTGAACTGGGCCAAACGGGATTTTTGGCTTCGTCTTTCGACCTGGCCGTTCGGCTCGATGAGCAGTGGGCCTTTGATGAGGAGGGCCGCCTCGCAGGGGCCAGGTGCTTGGGCACCGCTGCCAACGACGGGTCGGCTAGCAGGGCGGGGTGGGGTGGGGCGGGGGTGGGGGGGGGGGGGGGGGGGCCAAAAGGCTCGCCAAGGCCAAGAGGGCCTCGGCGAGAGTCCAGCAGTTGCGCGCCGCGGGCGCCAGCTGCAGCACAATTCAGAGAGGATCGCCCACTGCGACCGCCATGTGGGGCAGTGCGGCCACGGGGCTTTCGGATTTAAAGCTTCACGGCCTTCGCGTGTCAGCCCTCAGGGCTGAGGGTCGTCTTCCGATGGGAACTTCCGTCGGGCTCAGGCTCAGAGTGCCCCCCCAGAGGTTCCTCCAGGGATCCTTGGGTAGCGCGCGCTGTGGAGGTGGTCAAGCAGTGGGCCATATCCGCCCTCTCTGAGCTTCCAGGGCGTGGCCCCATGCATGGGTGTTGGGAGTCTGGTAAGGAGCTCCTTAGCAAAGCCAAGCCGTGGGCGCACTGTGTTGACACTGGCCAAGTGGTCCTCCTGTGTATGGCCAAGATAGGAATAGTGATGCCCACGGCCTTCTCCATTCAGTTTCAAGGCATTGAATATTCGATGCTCGATGCCACGCCTGGCTCTATCGCTGCTAGAGCAAGGGGGGCTGCCATCATTGCCTCTGATGTCCTGTCGGTCGGGAGGCTGGGGGCTGGGTGGGCCTCGCCGCTCCACTGGGGCCCGCTGGGCCACCTTAACTAAGACGGAGAGTGAGGTCTGGACGGCCCACCACAAAGCGATTCTTAGGAGCCTTGTAGGTGGGTCGCACTGGCCGCAGGATCGGCTCTTCAGGCATGGCAGAGCTCAGCATGGCAGGTGATTGGTGCGTGGAGGGCCAGGTACCTTGTTTCATCGATTCTACGAGCGCCCCTGCATCGAGGCGCACCGCAGAGACGAATGCCCGCCACTTGTGCGGGCTGCAGCTTCGGTGATCAACTCCAAAAGCGAGGAGGCGAAAGACATGTTCAGTCGGTGTCTTTTTCCGCCCCCAGCCAGGTGTTTTCCCGTCTCCGGGGCCCCTTTGGAGGACCAGCCCCTTTGGATCGGGGTCCTTGTGGGCTGGAAATTGTCCGGCAAAGTTTCGGTGGACGGGGGCGCCTTTTACTTTTGGTTTGTTGGTCTCTCCCGAGCTGGCTGGGCCATCATTCAAATAGATGACAGCGGCAAGCTTGTCGCGGGAGCCTTCGGGGTTGTGCCGCTCAGCTATGCCCCCGCGCAAGTTGCGAGAGACGGGGGGGATGGTGCCTTCCAGGTCCTTGCAGAGTACTCGGAGTGGAACCCAAAGGGCCCTCTGACGGTCTATTCAGACAGCGCTGGTTCTATCGAGTGCGCGGTGAATCCAGGCGTGGCGCTCGACCCCATGGATACTGGAGGGCATGTTTGGGTTCGCTGGTGGGAAGGGATCGGCCGTCAGGCCACTGTCGTGAAAGTCAGAAGCCACCGGTCGCGTGATTCTGCTGTAAGCTTTGAAGACGACTGGCTCATTCTCGGCAATCAGATCGCTGACCGCTGGGCAGAAAGAGGCGCGCTGAAATGGTCGGCCCCCCCACGACAGCTTGCATGTGTACAGGGGGGTCGAGGCCATGGCCTCAAGATGGCATGCGAGGGCCCAACAGTTGTGCGTCGATTGGGGCTTCGTGGACTCTGAGGCAGCTGCTGGGACTTCGGATGTGACGCTTGACTTCAGTTCGGAGGCCTGGGGGCACCTGGAAGAGGCTGCGTGGGGGGGGGGCACGGCGCCGTTTCAGGGTGTGCCTGGGGTGTGCCCAGGAGGGAGGCCCCTTCCTTTCCACCCTCCGCCTCCTCCTCGTCAGCCTCCGCCTCCCGCTGCTGATCCTTCGGGGGCTTCTGGGGGTTGGGTGAAGCCCTCGTGGACCACGCCATCGCGCAGGCTTCGCTGGCGCCCCTGGACCCTGAGGGAGCTCCTGGGGCCGACCTTATGTGTTGTAGAAGTGCGGCGCCTCGGCACAGAGTGCGGTGAAATCCGGTTTAGGGTTGGACGGGCACTGTCTAGGGAGTCAGTCGAGTGGGTTGCGGGCGCAGAGAGCCCGTCTCCGCCGTGGCCTGCCCCCGCGCCGCCCAGCCCGTGTGGTCGACATCCGCGCGCCAGAACCAGGAGCTGCGGAGTGCTGGGGCGCGCGGTTCACCGCGCCCGAGCCCGCGGGCCCGCGGGCGGCAGGAGGATGCAGCGGGGGCGCTCAGTCAGATGCTCAGCCAATTTGTACGGCACCACGCTGCCGCGTCTGCTTGACTCTGAAGTCGCCTCCCTGCACGGGTTTGTTTCCCCCTCGGCAGTCGCTGAGTTCTTCGCAGGTTATATGCCCAAGGGCGAGGCCGAGGGTTTCTTCCCCGAAGAGTTTGCCTAAGGGGCGACTCATGTCGGGTTTCGCCAGAGCGAGCGGGGGACCTCCCTCGAAGTAGTCAAGAGCGTCAAGAGCGTCGTTGTCGCTCGTCTCTCCGCTCCCCCCGCCCTCCCCGCTCCTTCCACGGCAGCCGCTGACATGTCCCATGATTCTGGGAGTCATCCGCGGCGTTCTCCCCCCCCTGGGGGCTGCGCTTTGCTGCGGGCTGGTCGGTGGGCGAGACCTTGGGTGCCCGCTCGCGGATGGTTGGGGACTCGGCACCATGGTCACGGCTCGCGACGGCGCCCGCTCCCTCCTGTGTCTCCCCCGTCGTTGCTGCATGCTGTTGGACCCGCTCTCGCGCCTCGGGGGTTCGACGTCGTGCCCGCTTCTCTATGCTACGTATCACTGGTTCGGGTTCGGGGTTTGTGCCCTCATAGTTGTTACAGCTATGTAGTTTGGCCAGTGTGCTGCGTTCCCCGGCCTGGGGTGCGATTTAGTTTCTCCGTCGCTCAGCGTGCGGGGTTCGATGATGCGTTGCTGGGGTGTTTCGTATCAGTCTCCCTCTCCCTCGCCTCCTCCTCCGTTCGTCCCCCCCTTCGGACTCGCAGTGCCGAGCTGCCGATCGCAGCCGGCAGATTCATCCCTTGGCTGTGGAGGCCCAGAGCGCTCGGCAAGAGCGTGCAGCCTCCCCCCTTCCCTCCCCCCGTCCTCCTCTTCCTTCCGTTTCGTCTTTTCCCCTCGGGCTCGAGGTGCCGAGTTGTCGATCGCAGCCGGCAGATTCATCCGTTGCTGTGGAGGCCCTGAGCTTTCGGCAAGAGCGTGCAGCCTCCCCCCCTCCCTCCGTCCCCCTCCCTCCCGCTCCCCCCTTGCTCTCCTCTTCATGGTGGCGGGGTGAGGCGCTCGGCCTCCGTGGGCGGCCTCCGCGCCAGATCGCTGGCGCCGTCCCGTTTTTTTGCGGGTCGCGCGTGTGGCCCGCAGGTCGCGCCCCGTCGGCGCGGCTTCCCACTCTTAGTTTTGCCCAGTCTTGTTCCGTAGTTTGCACTCTGGGTGCATTGAAGATGCCTCCCACGTATCACGTAGGCACGTGGCAGTTCACGACCCGCTATGGGGCTCGAGGCCTGA